ACACACACACACACCACACACAACAAAAAACACACACACACAACACACACACACACACCACACACACACACACACACACACACACACACACACACACACACAAACACACACACACAAACACACATACTCCCGTGAATAAGTATGTGCAAGGTAACCACAAGCATTTATGATAATAAACATTAAGAAATAACCTCCCCATCGATAGATTAATAAATAACCAGAAAACAAACAATAAATTCAACAAGTAAATGATTAAAAGAAAAAAGGTAACAAAAGAAACATGAAACTTCAACAAGAACGTGAGCAAAATCGAAAGAAAAAAACACATGAATCCGCGCGCATACACGAACGCCCAAACAAACATGGCCGCCAACTTCCCGCCGAAGAGAAAGAAAACAGCGACAATAACCGATAAGGGACACCTCCTCGTCCGAATAAAATATTTGTTTACTTCGACAAATAACTAGAAATAAACTCGGGGATTATGGCGTGGTTCGTTCTCTTTTCCTTTTTCTTTTCTCGTCTCCTTTTTCTCTCTCTCTTTTTCTCTCCCCCGGATGTTTGTTTCGTGCTTTTAGGATAATCCGCTTGACTTTTTTTCTTTCTTTCTTTCTAATCGCTTTTCATTTCTTGTTTTCTTGTATAACTTGGACGTAAGAACAAGTAACATTTATCTTTTACCAGGAATCAGAAAAATAAAGAAAACAAAGAAGAAATAAATAAAACATATATACTTAATTCATAGAAATAGATATAGTAAAAAAGATATTGTTAAACGGACGTAGATATGATTTATCTCATCTTAATAATAACTTTTAGACGTAATAACCATTCTGTTTTGGATCCTTAATGACGTCACCATCTAGATAATGCAACAGCAACAATAAAAGTATAAATAAACTCGCGAAGAAGAACAAAATTGAAACGAAAATCACGAAAAATTGTCCGAAATAAAATCAGAACACATCAATCGAACACGAAGTCAGTGATTACCTTTGCATTCGTAAACAAAGACAGCAGTTGCCTTTGTCTTCCTGAATTTGTTTTTATATACATTCTTTTCATCTCCTTTCCGTATCACATCGCATTATAACTCTCTAAGGAAAAACAAGGTAAAAAAAATGTCAAGTCGATGGTGATAGAATTTTAATAAAGGAAAAAAAAAACGAAATAAAAAAAGAAAAAAAATACGTAAATAAGTAGAATAAACACACATGGCAACTCTGATGAGGAACCCCTTTTCCTCTCCCTCCCCCTCCCCTCCTTCTTCCCCTCCCCTCCCCACCCCTCCCTCTTCCCCTTTCAAACCCTCAAGCGGTATCTTATTATCCATCTTCCGAGGGGAAGGTTCACGTCAAGGAGAAAGAAATGAGGTTTCGAGAAAAGGGGGTTTCACTGCGAACCCCGAGAGGAGTTTGAGATCGAAAGGGGGGGAAACCTTGATGATTTTCTCTCTCTCCATCTCTCGTCTCTCTCTCTCTCTCTCTCTCTCTCTCCTCTCCTCTATCTTATCTATCTATCTATCTATCTATTCTATCTTATCTCTCTCTCTCTCTCTCTCTTCTCTCTCTCTCCCTCTCTCATCTCCTCTCTCTCTCTCTCTCTCTCTCTCTCTCTCCTCTCTCTCTCTCTCTCTCTCTCTCTCTCTCTCTCTCTCTCTCTCTCTCTCTCTCTCTCTCTCTCTCTCTCTCTCCTCTCTCTCTCTCTTTTTCTTTCTCTTTCTTTTCTGTTCCTCTCTTTTCAGTGTGTCTACTGCTTGTCTCTTTAGCCTGTTTGTTGTCTTTCGTTGGGTTGTCTGTCTTGCCTCTCTCTCAGTCTCTTTGTCTTTCTGTCCTGTCTTCTCACTCTCTCGTCCTCTGCTCTCTCGTCTTCTCACTCTGTCCTCATCTCTTCTCCTCTCTCTCTCTCTCTCTCTCTCTCTCTCTCTCTCTCTCTCTTCCTCTCTCTCTCTCTCTCTCTCTCTCTCTCTCTCTCTACTCTCTCTCTCTTCTGCAGACCTCCCCTGCCTACCTATATCCTCTCATCATTATTCCTTCACTCACCCTCTCTTGCGTCCTCTCCCTTCCCTGCCTCCTTCCCTCCCCATCTCCTCACCCCCACCCCACCACCTTTCCCCTTTTCCTGCCCTCCTCTCTCTCTTCTCCTCTTCTCTTTTCCTGTCATTCCTTCACCAAAAAGGTTCCGAAGAAACGTGTTGCAAAAGAATAAAGAACAGTAGAATAGGATAACTAGTGCGATAATAATGACACAAAAGTATCACCATAAAAAGAGATTACCTTTCTTATTTTCCTTTTCTTAGTTTTCTGCTTAAATAATATTTTGTTTGGATAAAAATAAGGTATCTAATATTTTATCCTTGTTACTTACCTTCCTTTTTTTTACTGAACTTTGTCATTTCTCTTTAATTAGTTTCAGCTTACAGGATATTTTGTTTGTTTGGGAATATGCTTTTTATCTCTCCATTATTACTTTGTTTGTTCTTTTTCTCTTCTTTTCTTTTTCATTTTCTGGTCTCCTCCTCAGTTATGATTTAATCCGATTTTCTTATATTTCCTTTTTTTCTTTTTTTTTTTTAGAGGAAGAGATAAGAGAAGAATGAGTTAGGAAGAGAATTGAAAAACAAAGGAATAGATGAAAAAAAAAAATATACGAAGAAAGGTACATACATAATTAAATTCAAAATTATAGATACTTAGAAAGACAATTTGGATAAAAAGAACGGAAAAAGGCGAAGAAAAAACACCTAAAACGAGAATAAAAATGCGAAACGACATAGAGAAAGAAGAAGAGAAAAG